AACAGTTAATAATTTTCTCTCCCTTCCAGCTGAGATGTTTCATACACCATGCTGCTGTATCCTAACACAGGGTTTCTGTCATGTTTCAGTTTAGGTTGTGCCATATATCAAAAGGGAGTCGATGTGATCCTCTTTGATGTCGTGAAGCCACTTCAAACCATGCCAGAGGGAATAAAGTTCGTGCAGGGGGATATCTGTTGCCTGCCTGAAGTGGAAGAAGCTCTCAGAGATGTAATCTGCGTATTCCATATCGCCTCCTATGGAATGTCTGGCAGGGAGCAGCTGAACCGAAAACTTATAGAAGATGTTAACGTGAAAGGAACAGAAAATGTCATCCAGGCCTGCAAGAGCAGGGGAGTGTCGAGCCTGGTTTATACAAGTACCTACAACGTGATATTTGGAGGCCAGATTATAGAAAATGGGGATGAGTCTCTGCCTTATCTACCTCTGCACCTTCACCCCGATCACTACTCCCGAACGAAATCTTTAGCTGAAATGAAAGTGCTGGAGGCAAATGGTGCTGAGCTGGGAAATGGGAGAGGTGTCCTGAGGACCTGTGCTCTCCGCCCAGCGGGGATCTACGGGCCTGGGGAGCAGAGACACCTCCCAAGAATAGTCAGCTACATTGAAAAGGGACTGTTTAAATTTGTGTATGGAGACCCTCTGAGTCTGGTAGAGTTTGTACACGTGGACAACCTGGTCCAGGCTCATGTCCTTGCCTCTGAGGCCCTCAGAGCCAGCAAGCAGCACATTGCTGCAGGCCAGGCCTATTTTATTTCTGATGGCAGGCCTGTCAATAACTTTGAATTTTTCCGACCGCTAGTGGAAGGTTTGGGTTACAAGTTCCCGACCTGGCGCCTTCCCCTCTCCCTTGTCTATTTTTTTGCATTCCTTACTGAAATAGTTCATTTTCTTGTAGGGCGCGTTTATAACTTCCAGCCCCTCCTCACTCGCACGGAGGTTTACAAAACTGGTGTCACACATTATTTCAGCATGGAGAAGGCCAGGAAGGAGCTGGGCTATAAGCCCCAGCAGTACAGCCTGGATGAAGTGGTGGAGTGGTTTAGATCCCAGGGATGTGGACCAAAGCCAAGAAATTACACCATGATGCACCTGGTTAGGGATGGAGGACTGCTCGTGGTGCTGATTGCCTTGCTGGTCTCCTGGTTTCCATCTGCAGTGACATTTTCACTCTGAAAGATTAAATGCTGAGAACAGAATTTAGTTATGTTCTCTGTTTACTCTGAAGTTTGACAGACAGGTAATAAAAGATTTTAAAAAAAATACCTATTCATGTGATTGAGGTAAATAACAGCTTTATCCCCAAGGAACGGAACTGCTGAGTAAAAAGGTGTAATTTTTTATATATACTTTCTCTTCAAAGTAAAATGGATCAGATCACTAACAAGATGAAGCTCGGTATTACTGCAAACGGCATTTTATTCTCAGGTACAACAACACAATACAGAGAATGGAACAAATGTCCTTAGGCTGACTTTCCTCCCTGATGGGATTATACTCCTGATCCCTGCCCTTTATTCCCAAAGAGTTTGTGTTACATGATCCAGAGGAGAATAAACTTATTCTTTGATCACATTCCAAACCCCAGATCTGCCTCCCAGCTTGGATGTATATATGCCTAACCAAGATTAACTGATAAACTGCTAGACAATAAACAAATGGGGCTTTTACATGAGTACATTCTGGTATGCTTTCCTGAGCTAACTCTGATATCTAATGACATTTCTGGAAAATGCACCGTGCTTAATCTAAATTACAGCAAACTGCTTGAAGCACCACAGATTTGTAGATTTTTCTAACAGTAAAATATGCCTGTTTAAAATGAATGAGCCAGCTGAAAGTGCATTCATAAATAAAACCTATGATTTTTCCCAGCATTATTGAATGGTTAAACAAATAATTCATCAAAGACATTTGGTGAGTGATTGCATTCACATTCCACTATTTATAAAACACTTTTAGCCTTTAATAATATTTCTTTAACACCTGACACCATCTGAATAGAATTTCAGCTTTGTAATAGGAAGATAAACACTTGCTATGAGGAAACTCATAATTTTGTGGAATTTTAAGGTTAGAAGACTATGAGTACAGGTCATCGTTGTCCCATGCAATTCCCTCTGTCAATTTAATAAAGAAACTGAGAAACTTCACCTCAAATGTTAAACACAAAGTTGTTTTCCCTTAACTTATCAGCAGTGCAGCTTCTGTACCCCTTGATAAAAGAAGAATCCTTCAAGAATTTAAAACTTCTCTTTAAACTTTAGTATTTCTTTTTTAATTGCTGAAGTTACACTGATCTCAAATTAATAGTAACTTCCAGATACTTCTGTTAAACTCTGCTGCAACTGAAATGGAGAAGTGATGAATAAGAAGAAGAGCAGTTCCATTGAACTGTTACAGGATTCTCAGAAAACAAGAGGGCCTAAATAGAGGAACCAAGCTGGAAATCCTCGTCCACCCCTGCATAGAAGATGCAGATTTTTATTGCTCATGATGACTGAAGACAGCATTATTTTTTGATTGTTGAGCTCTCTTCTTGGTAAGTTTACCTTAAAAAAAAAACAGCCCACACTATAGATAACTTTTTGTATTTTTATGTTTTAAATCTGATTTTCTCCTTCATTTCCCTACCAGTAAGCACAGAATCAAAGAAACTAAATTTAATACTTAGTTTGAGGGACAGCTCAAGAGAGAACTCACTTTTTTTTCCCCCTCTCTAATAGCAAATAAGCTGTTTGGGTAGCAGGACTTAAAAAGAGCTTATGTGCCTCCAACTGAGCACTGATGGCACAAGGGCCACTCTCCAGGAGTCATTAATATACAACATCATCTGCAGAAAGAAGAAATCTCTTTAATAAAACAGAAAAAGACATTCATGACCTCATGAAAGCGCTGGGCCGATGCTCCTTTCCAACAGCTCAGTTTTTTCAAGTAGAAACCACTTTGTTCTTTTCCCCTGTAAGTTCTCTGGCTTTGACACAATGTTATCAGAAAGAGATTAAAAATTCTAATGCCAGCAGAAGACAAAACCAAAATGTAGAAGAAATTGCACAAGCCTGTTGCACAGAAACAACATCGGTATTTCACGCCAAGTCTTGTAAAAAAATTGTTTTTATCATCCGGAACTGAACTTCTGTGTCCCAGAGGAATTTTCTCTGCTATTTGTAATCTTTTAGCAAAACTCAGCTACTGCTATTTATAATTATCTCAATGGTGGGGTTAGTGAAAAACATCCAGGAAGGGTCCTTAAGGCATGAATCCTAAATCCACACTGTCAATACCAGCTGAGGTTCAGGTCCTGGGCAGATTTTGAGGTATGGCAGCAGCAGCAGCTCCTGGCAAGACAAAAAAAGCCCAACAAAACCCCAAATACCAGAAGTCCTGCAGAAGCTGAGCTCAACACGTGAAGCCTTACATCTGCCTGGAGTCAAGGACAGAACTCTCTAATAACAGAGCAGGAGACACTGTTGTCCTAATGGCCCAAGGGTGTGCTCCAGCACTGGGGATTAATGTGGGTACACAACCCAGAGCCATCATCAGTGCACTGCAAATTCATTAATCCCCATCAATTAGCTCCATCTGTTAAAAAACCAAAATCCTGACCACGGCAGAGGTGAAGATTACACTTACTCGTTCCAAAAGTGAAACAGGCAGTCTGTGGCTTGAGAGACTCTAAATTTGCTTGAAAATTCCATCCCTGTAAAGACTGTCACAGCTGCTCTATTTGAAGTATTTTACAATGAGAAGTCTCTCTCCTTTTTCCTGGTTTTTGTCATTACTCCTTGTGCATGAATAGCTGGGTAAATTAGGGTAATTAATTCAAGTGTTGTGTCTCTTTTCAAATTTTAATTTATTACCTGTTTTCCAGAAACTGAATTGCCAGAAATGCACCTAAAAACTGAAAGAGCAAAATGAAAATATAGCTCAGATTCAATTTTTCCTAGTCCTCAAAATTACTGAACAATTGCTAGGTGCCTCATTAAAAAGAATGATGCTGATGTTTTAAGTGAATAGTTTAAGAATACTTTGTCAGCCACTTAATCTCAGACACAGTATTTCAAGGTACAAATTTGCCAGATATACATGAAAACTTGTATTTAAATATATTTATTTTAGATGCTTAATGAAACCAGATTTTTCTAGGTCCTTCTCCTAAGGGACCTGTCCAAAATGCCCCTTTGTTTCTATTTATTACTGATTTCCACATACTTTCCAAAGTACAGTGGCATATTTAATAATTCACTGTGAGTTCTTCAGAGAAAAGGGTCCTGAACATTGATAATTTACACATATTGTAAAGAATCTGGGGATTAAACTGCAATTCAGGAGTACACAAGTGTTGGGGGAACTACTGCTTTACTTTAGTCAGGCTCACAGTTCCCAGTTTTGCTGGAGTAACAGCTAAAAATATAGACTAGCAGTAAATTAATTAACATTATATTAATAATGAATTAATTTAAATTCCTTTAAAACTAATAGCATGTTTATAAATACTCTTTATAACTCCTGTTATCAATCAGAAGACAAATTCATCTCTGAACTGATTCTGAAGGTTAATTTTCATTATATTTAACTTCTATTTCTCATGATATAAAGGGAATTTCAGTCTGGAACAAAGCCAGCTAGTTGGACTGCAATTAAAAATGCTGACACATGATTGTAGCAGAACTCAACCACTGCACTTCAGCTTCCACACCCTATTTCATATTTTTCCAACTCGTTTGGAGAATTCAAAGATAATGCACAGCTCACACCATCTCACCATCTCCAAGGTTAAAAAAACTGCAAAACAAAATGCTTTCAACAGAGAAATACAGAGATATGCTGGGGTGGAAAAAAAAGTGAGAACAGGCAACAAAACACATAAATGTAGCAATTTTTTGGACTCAGAACTCACGAATACCAATTCTCGCTAAGGTGATGAAGACTCTGGCTGATTAATGACCTTCTAGAAGAATTAGGCTGCAGACACCTCATACGGATTCATGTTTAATAAGGATGTAATTTTGATCAAAAAATGAGAAAAATTTTGTTCCCAAGACTCCCAACAATTAAAAAAATCACCACATAAAGACAGAACATTCACCAAGTAGCAGTTCTCCCCATGCAACCTCACAGGCAGAAAGTGTTCTGACAGAATTTTTTTTTTAACATCAATATTACTCTTCTTTCAAATTACCACAAATTTAATCTTTGCCTTGCTCAGATTTTATTGTTCAAACTCATACAAATCTGATTCTCACTAGAGCTGGAGTTTGTATCTGCCTCTTACTGAAAAAGGTTGGTTTGGAGTCACAAGTTAAACTCGATCTTTGACCTTTTCCTTATGCCTCTGTTTTGGAGCCAAAGGAAGTGCCGTGATAACCATGTCTACTGAAACAAATAATCATTAAGTCAGTTCATCTTAAATACACAGAAATGCCCTTCTTCCAACCTCTAGCAGAGCACACCATACCACACTAGCAGATCACTTTCCAATAAGAACTCACTGCCTCAAATGACTGGCAAAAGTAATGAAATTCCATGAGCGATGCTTAAACAAACCTGGCATCATTCACGTCAATTTGAGATATCAAAAATTATTTATTAAAATAAGTTATTCCAATGATTTTAAACACTTTCTCTAAGAATATAACAATTTAACAATTGTTAACTTTAAAAATTTATAAATGTTTTCCCTCCTGGATTAACAAAATTAGCACATGCATTCAAACCTACTTTCATACTCAAACAGTTGCAACTGTGATAAAGTCGCTACACAGTCTGCCCCAGGGAAGAACTGGGAAGTGAGGTCTTGGAGATAAAACACAGAAAGCAAGAAACAGGAGAAGAGTTAGAACATAGCCTTGCCCACCACGTGCAAGTCAGCAGAAGAGTCACTTCAGCGCAGTATTTTCATTCTGCACACTAACATCATAGTCTGGGGAAAAGTCTTACTGTAAAACAAAATGCATTTACATAAATACTGATGTGCCTCTTACAACTCCTGACATTATGCATGAGGGAAGAATGTGCACAGGACCTTTCAAAGGACTACAAAATGAGCTATTTCTTAAATATTTGCACAAGAGCAGCATGAGGGACTCCTGTGTCCATGACACAGTGGCTGTGTCCAAGACACCAGTGGAGGAAGCCAGGACAAGTGGACAATTTGGTTGGGTCTGCTCTGGAACTGAGCTTAAAAAAGAATTCTGACAGGCAGAACAATCCAGACCTGGATAATGAATTTAAAATCAGCTCTACACAGCAGGCTGAGTTATAGCTCCACCTCCCAAATCCACAGCTGATGTGATTATTTTTATTTTTTTTTTTGTTTGAGCAGGGTTTACACCCATCTAATCCTTGAACAAGTCAATCACAGCTGGGTACTGAATAGTTTTCAGGAAGGAGGATGAAAAGCAGAGAATTGACATTAACTTCTCTCATTTTCAGTTGGGTGATTAGTAATTAATTCCTTTATAATAAAAAATTTACAGAGCCACCCCATTGTGGGATACACTATTATAACACTTTCATCTCTGAGACAAGACTGTCTTTACAGAATAGCTAAAACCTCAAGGGGGTTCCTCAAACCATCATCTGTGAATGCACAATGGCATCAATTAAGCGCTTCTTGAAACAACAGAAGTCACAGTGTGGGGAGCAAGAGAAATTGAAAATGCTGAGGCAGCTGCAGCAGGCCATGAATCCCAAATCCGTGTGAGTCCTCTGTGATCAGAAGTACAGCTCTGTGGAAGCAGCATTTTGTGCCTCAGGCAGTCACTCTGAAAACTAAACTTTGCACACATTTGAACGTTAAAGTTGGGAATACAGACAGCAAAACTCATCCCATGTAGAGGTAAGACAACCTGGAATTTGATGGTATCAATACAGCGCTAGCACAAAGGACCAACACATACACAAATTATGACAAGAGCTGTTAAATATTCCATCAAAGGCCTTTAGCTCTGTTCTTGCAGGAAGATACACTTGCTAATCTAACAAGTATTCTCATCTGCAGCTTCATGTTCTTGATTTGATTAAAGGCACCAGAAGGATGTACCTCTATATTTGTGCACACTATCATTCTTGGATTAGTTACGTTTTGGGAAAACGGTCTACATTTACAGAACACTATCATATGACTATCGTCTACACAGGATTGCAAGATTAAAAATTGACAGTTCATTTAAAAATTCATTTCTAAGCACATTAGCAGCTGAAAGGATTTGCAGAAATGATACTGTACAAAAGTAAGTGCTTCTCAGAATTTTAAATACCTTCCCTTTCTGCAAACAAACAGATATCTCCTACTGCATATCTTTTCCTTCCAGTGCCTCGAGGCTGTGAACAGAAGTTCACAGGGGCTACGAATAGAGGTTCACACATTTCTCCTTTCTTAAACCTTTAAAGAGAGTTCAACAAGAAAAACACAACTACAGTCCCAGAGGATATTTGCTTTCAACAAAATTAGCATATCTTGTTCTCGAAAATGTAACAGAAAATTTTTAATAAGAGACAATAGCTGCCCAAAATATTTTATACAGCATCAGCAGCACAATCTGCTGTCTCGAGGACTGTAACATACATGACGTGACAATGCCAGCGTGGAAGTGCTTTTACAGCATTTAATAAATTAAAAATGCACTACTAGTTAATCTTGAGGAGCCAGGTTGTTAAAGTGGTGTGATTCCATGCATGCAAATTGTTGTGACTGTCTTATCTACAGCCTGTGTACACACAGGAGATGATTTGTACTTCAGGTACTGATAATGAGAAGTGAGGTCCATCCAACTACACATACTCAAGTTTTAAAAATCTTGAGTACACAGAAGTTCTGGCCTGCACAGAGGGTTTGCTTTGTACAGAATATAAATTATTAGGTATTAAAACAGTTTTTCTTAGAAGAAGAAATTATAAAGGAAATCTGTATTTCCTCTTCCTGCTCTTCTTCCAGTCATTCCACCTGATGAGACCGTCACTGAGTAGGATGACCAGGGTGAATTCATGTCTTCCTGAATTGCACCATAAAGCACACATCAAAGACTGATGGGCTTTAAGAGTAGAATTTGCTGTTACTGACTTTCTTCTCCTTTAATCTTAAGGGAAAAGAAAAGGAAAAAGTCAAGCCTAATAGGAATTTCTCAGAGGAAAACAGACTACCAAATTCAATGTACTTGGATAACAATGGCAAGTAATGTATCAGCAACAAGCACTGCAATTTTTTTCCCCCAATAAATGGGAGTAAACAAGTGATTCATGCAGCTGTTCAGCACACACAGAAAAGGGCAAGACTATTTAAAGTCTTGAGATCTGCTCAAAATTTCTTCTTGGTACATGAAGCCTCCCTCTATCTCCCTCACACTTGGCCCAAAGGTGGCAGCAAAGGAGAAGGAACCTTCCCCTAAGCTCTGGATAATGCACTGACACTGAACTGACAATTCTGTGCTGTTACAACTTAATACTGGTTTTATCTTTTGTGATTGGTATATCTGTTCCCACATATCTCATATGTGCATGACATTTCCAGGGACATAACTCTGATAGTGTAGCAGGAGTGAAGAGGTTTATTTATTTGTCTGTATATACTCTCAGGCTTTCCTCCTGGAAAGCGGCAGAGAGGGATACAAAACATGACAGGATTACAAGTGTCACTGTGATCACTGCAACTGAGATTTCACAGAGCACACATTCCTCAGCTTCTACTGGCCTCTAGTGGCTTGAGGCCCAGCCTGGCTTCTCTACAGCCCTTCCTCCTTCCAGATGAGCTCATTCTACCCTCACCACTCTTTAGATGCTCCTTCTGATATGTCTGAGGTTTCCTTATCATAAATCTTGTCTAGACAGAGCAACCTTGGTAGGGAGAATGATCATCTCACCTGCGGTTGCAAGTCTCTTGATAAATCTGTAGTTTGTGTTCATTGACGCTGAATTCTTTCAGTATAGCATCCCTGTTGGGATTCCTCAGGTTCATGTGGGTGTCATAGAGGAACAGCTGGGTATTCAGCTCCTCCTGGCGCTTCCGAAGCTGTCGACACGAGGAATAAAGCTCCTCTTCGCTTTCCTTCAAAGGAATATTGGAAATCAAGATAATTTTGTAAAACATGTTCCCAAAATGACACAGAATAACAGAGTTTGGGGAATTAGTTTGTTTTCTCAACCACATTTTAATAACTGCATAGATTTTTTTATAAAATTAGTTTGATAGGATGTTTCTAGAAACAAACTAACTTTGAATGTACTAAAGAAACTCCCTCAGCCCCACAGTATGACCAGCCACACCCTCTGAATCATCATCGGGGCATCAGGAACATTCTACCACATGTCACAAAATGAGTGTGACTAAACACTTCTGCTGGATTATTTTTCCCTAATAAAGCATGTCAGTCTGTTGAGGAAAGAACAGAAAATAGTGTATCATGATGGCGTATCAGATTATAATAATATCAAAAATACTTTTTAAAATGTTTAGATTTTGGCTTTTCCATCATTTTTGTGTATCATGTGACAAAGTGACAGTTCTGGGGATTTTCTGTTGAAATGTAGACTAACAGTGAAAATACTGACTGGTAAATAAGACCCCTTACAGGAGAGAGTACTCAGATGGTTAAGAAAGAAGGACAGATCCTGTATTTCTATGTGACTATGGCAATTCAGTACTTGCAAGGAACTGAGTAGGTCTGAATTTCTATTGTGGCCCACACTAGGAGGTCTCAAAATATTCCACAACCATAAACAATCATCATGTTTCCATTTACGACTTCAAATTATTTTAATACTTTAAAACTTTGGATGCAAAAGCTGCCCCTTCATAGAATTACTAGTGGGGAATAGGACTGGCAGGACTGAAGTCTTAATTTTCACATCAGCAGCAAAACAAGATACTCCTTCTACAAGAAATGACATGCAATCAATAAATGTAATAAATCCAAACATTTTCAGAGGCAGCATACTAATAAGAATGCCTCTTTCTGTATTCAGTCCAGATCTAGGAAAACTGATAGCTTAGCAACATACCTAAGGGGTTTCAGTTACAGCAACAATATCCTTTCCTAAATCCTTTTTCCTCCTGAAACACATTGCTATGCAGGCATGGGTTGAAGTAACTGAAACACCCTCAGTGCTATGCTACTGATCAAGATTTAAAGAGCAATTTATTTAATTTTTGTTTGTAAAGGGGTAGGAAACTTTGTATTCCCAAATCACAAAGGAAATACAGATTGCTAATTACCAATTTGCAGGTGTAATCATCAAGATGCTTATGGTACCACTGTTAGTTCTTGTAAAGAAATGTATCCACAAAGGTACAGCTTAAACTGCATTTTAAGATGTCCGCTTCAATCTTTAAGTCAAGAACACAGACACCACCGGGGCTGACTGTAGTCAGAAAAAGCTGAAGAAATACTTTGTACTTTCTGAAATAAAATGCACTTTCTGAAGGAAGTAAATCAATTCTCAAGCAAGTAAGACATGCTTATAAGTGCAACAATCACCTCAGTATAGTACGATTCCTACAATATCAAAAAAACTGATTACCTTCTACAGGAACTATGTAAGGCCCCACATAATAATTCACAAAAGTGCATGCTTATGTATACAATATATTTGTTTTACTATTCCTGATAAACTCCACAGCTATCTGTAATTCCTTATTATAATTTTGTATTTCATATCCAAGCACATGCAGATGGACTCTGTATAGGCCTGTTATTAAATGGCATTATTTTATGGAAGGCCATCACTTTTTTTAAAAAAAAAACCAGAGGAACAGAGATAGTCTTGATCATTTTTGATGCTTCTTGAATGATCTGGCAAAAATTCTAGAGTTGACAACCGTGGTGAGTCTGGGTTTGTTACTGGCTACCAAGCAAAAGGAAGTTTGGGAAGTTCTCCTGCCAGTGCATTACCACCAGGCAGTGTAAAAACACTGAGCTGAGCTGCATCTTCATTTGGCTTAACAAGCAGAAGGGGATTCTAGAGTGTGAAATGTGCTACTGTCAAAGGAGTAGTGGTGACAGATTGGGGGACAGACTGCTGCTATGAACAACACTTTGAGATCTGCTCCTGCCCCAGGCAAATAATGATCTGGAATCCTGAAGAGAAACCATGGCAGGAGGGATTTGAAATGTATCCACAAGCGATGTCCATGTTCAGCATTAGGCAATGGTGACTCTGTCAGTTTTCTCAAAGGCAGCAAGCCCAAACCCAGCAGTTTACCAGGCCTCCCTTATGAGACTAGAGTCCATGATACATGAACAATTTAAATATTATCTTGAAAGGATTTAGGTCTCTCTTCACACACACATCCCTAGTCTCAGCTTCTAATCCTCTCCTGCTCTCAGAACCCTTGGCTGGCCCACAGAAGGATCTTATAGGAACCTACAACAGCTTTCAAACACTGTCATTTTACATCAGGTGTTATAAGGTGGCTTTGTAAAAACCTCCATAAAGGATGTTTGAAAAAGGCCTCCACTCCTTTGGGAAGAACAGTGTGTCTGAATTCAGAAATTTCCAGTTCAGTGTATGCAACTGCAGGTACAAATCCCTCCAGAGACATAATGACTTAGAGTTCACAGAAATTGATGCTTCAATCAGAATAATAATGTAACTGGTGTGAAGCGCAGCATGGGCCTGAAAGAGTTGACAAACTACAAATAAGAAGTTGAACTTTTTTTTTTTTTTCTCTGAATCAGAAGGGTGCTGGAAATCACCCTGAAACAGCCACTTCCCAGAAGCATCTTTAAACTTTCATCATATCACAAGTGAATTTAAATCACACAATGTATTCTTGAGAAAGTCTGAGAAATATCCTATAAACCAACATATACAGCAGCACCCTTGGAACACCAACAAACACTGTTCACAGATCAGCTGCTTTAATGCCTGGATTCATGAGCATCATTATTTTTCCCCTATGTGTTTTAAAATACTACTATTTCAAGCAGGTGTTTAGAGAGACTTAAAAGGAGCAGATTAGCAGTTCTTTAAGAACCAGATATGTCTTCTACTTGATGGGCTGTTTATTTTAATGAAATACTGGGAGAAATTACTATCTTCTACTGCTGAAGCAATTTCTTTTTATGTAGGACCTTTAAAAAAAAGATTAATCTATGAAGCCAAAGCTGATTTTAGCTAGCTTTGCATGGCATCAGTCAGTTAACAAGGAAAGACAACGACCAAGCTGTTACAGCAAAAACTATTGGAGGTAATGAGGCTTTGTTTGTGCATTATTTCTTTTAACAACCATGTAATCTGTCCACCCAGAGGGAGAGTAACTCAATTTGCGCTATTTGTCTTCCCCAGTACCTGCAGAAGAAATGCCTGACAACAGCACATCAGACACAGAACAGAAAACTGAATCCTCAGTTCCTGGTTTCCACGAAGAACTGATAACAGACACACTAAGAGCACACAACAAACCCCAGTGCTTCTCACCAGAACTTGCTGCATCTCACAGTGCACCAGAAGCGAGGCCAGCTCTATATCTTCACTGTAGCCATTCTTGAGAGGAACTGACCTAAAACCTAGGGCAGAGGGAAGGAAAACAAAGGGCAATTATAGAGTCCATCAAGGAGGAATTCACAAAACAAGACTGGCAAAACTGAGAAACTCCTTGAATGCTCTTGAAAACTAAAGCCAGAGGAAGGAGCTTCATTGAGGCAGGAGGGAATCTGGCATGGCAGAGGAAGGCACAATACAACAATGCTCAACAGCACCTCATTATAACCATTGATCTCACCTGATTTGATTCCTTTGATGGGAAAAGTGGCGTGTGCTAAGAAGTTGGGATCACTGAACATATCCTCCTCATAAACAACAAAGCGCAGGAATGCCAGATTAGGGTCGTAAATTTCAAATTTCACTTGCTCTGCATAAGGTGCCCAAATTGGATTAAGGCCATTGTCATCTGTAATGAAAAGGAAACATTTGCAGTATGAAGCAATAATTTCACTTCATTCACATATGGGTATGTATCCCAGTACATTTTCAAGGGATACAGAAGCCCAAAAATTCTATTTACCATCTGTCTCATGTTGTAACCTTGCTTCAGAAAGTTTGTATTTGTTTACTTGGTGGTGGGGGTGGGAGGAAACTTGGCAGAGATGAAAATCCATGAAGAAAAGCTATTATTTATATTCAAACATATCAAACCTCCTTGGACAAGTATTTGTAAAGAAAAGAAAAAGCTAATTAATTTCTCATATTCATAAGTCTCATGCTCCATATCCAAGAGAAAGCAGGAAAAGCACTAGGGAGACTCATGTACCTCGGCCCAGTTCTTGTAGTTATGTACAGAACACCAAGATTTGGTATATGTGCCACAGCCAGGAAGTTTGCTGTCTAAAGTCTTGGTCTCTTCCCACAGAAAGTTTAAATCATGATCATCTTCTCTGAAGTACTGAGGAGCCACAATGCACATTTTGCTCCCGATGCTGTGTTTATTTTCTACTAGTATCACTAGTTTGGATAATCAGAACCAAAGCCTGCTTTTTACCAAAGGAGCACTGTTGCATCCAGAAATACTAAATGGTGAAACATGAAGTGGCTGAAGTACTGCCCCATTTCAGAGCACTTAAGTTCATGCCACACAAACACATTCCTTAGCCAGAACTCCCCAGCACTGAGCTTTGATTAAACTTCTGATGCATTTCAAGTTACTCTATTATACAGCCCTATACACCCAAGCTGCCTCCAAGGGGGTGCCAGTCTTAGAACCTCAGTTTAAATAAACACAGTCTGGAGCTCACAGTAGTAGCTCCCCATTTGGGCCAGACTTTTGGGAACTAGCAATGTTGGAGGCACTCTCAAGACAGTAATTTTTTTAAATATGCAAATACCCAAACTTATGCATGGGCAATAACACAACAGAATGGGACTTCTTTCTTCCCCAAACGGCAACAGCACTGTTTTTTCTAAATTTGATATACACTGAAGTTTCTCAAATTAAAGGGCCCCAAGATGAGCAAGAGAACAAGCCTTTGTGACTCATCAGTCCAGAGCTACATTTACTTTATTTCCCCCCACTAATGTTCATCCTCTGCTCGCTTTATTTAATACCCTGGCAGTAGAATGGTATTTCTGCAACATAGATACTCACTCACAACTGTTGTCTTGAATTTGTTGTTATCATATTCAGCCCCACAAATTTCAACCTCTACAAAGGGACAGGCGATGCTTCTACCAGGTTTAGGGAGATGACGAGCACCTAAAACCTGCAAAAGCAACGATAAATTATAACCACCTCCAAAGGAAACTTGGCATCACTGTTGCTGAACAGAAGGAAGCTTACAGAACTAGAGGGGGGAAAAATCCAGAACATGGAAAAGCACATATTCTCTCCCTTGAATATGTTTGCATGTATTATCTGTGTCACCAATAACAATACCTCCCATAGTCTGGGTAATTCAGTGATTTTCACTGAATTACCCAGTGTGTGAAAAAACACAAAACAAAAAAACCACTGTAGCTGACATTCATTACACACAGTGTGCAGCTCCAGGCCAGCCTGTAGCACAAGTTCTGCTATTTTTCTTCTGTGTTTATTACGTACTCATTTCAAGACATTTCTGCTTTGCATTCACAGGCCTTGTTTACCTCACCTTTAAACTGTAGTGAAGAGTAATTAATGTGTTCCTTCTTTCTCAGAAAGCATAGTTTTAAAGAACCTGTCTTACTGCATAGCAACTGAGAGCAGAAACAAGTTCAACCCTGTTTGGCACCCAGTCAAGATGGCAACATTTTCCAATGACAAACTCATCTCTTGAAGAAAAATGAGAATGACATTCAGATTAAGTTATAGTATATTAAATATGAAGTGGGGGAATCAGCTTATTAGGTTTCCTGTTTAGTTTCTGTATTTCATTATAAATATCTTTCACACTCAAAATCTAATCAAAACCTCAACTAGTTAGTCTGATGCTAATCAATCTCCAATAGGACCCTTCTACAAAGAACTTATTTGATTGGAAATTCAAGTTAGTTCATTTCATTTATTTATTAGCAATTACAAAAAATCATCCCAGGATTGTGTTTTCAGTCCTATAGCATGTTCTTCATTAGCATGATAAAGACATGTATTTCTTTTCAGGAACCAGTGAAGTTAGTTTTATTCTCACACACACTGACATTTGAAAAGAGTATTTTGACAATCTGTCAGAACTTGCTCTGAAACATAATAGTTTTATTTTTAGTTTTATAGATATTTATGACTTGTAAAAAAACATAATTTGCAAAAGAGATTTACCCTCACTGTCATAATCATCTGCAATTTCCTCTTGGAGTCATTTGGGATTGGGTCATACTCCTCATTTCTCATGCTCTCTGGCTGCAGCACGTAGCCAGTGCGTCCATTCAGGGAAAACAAGGCATGGTTCAATTGCATGTATTTGTCTGGGGAGAGAGTTAAACAGTCACAACACAAGATCCTCTGAAATAAAGCTAAGGAAATACCAGATTAATGGCTCTTCCCTGTAATTCTTTCTGGTCACCACTTCATCAGAAAGAGCTGGAAAGGTGGGAGACATGGTTCCTTCAGTAACTGATTCTGACAGGCCAGTTTTCATCAAGTCTAATCCCAAAAAAACCCATCTCCATCCTCAGTTAGCTTCCTAGCAGTGTATCACAAACTAGCTGGCCCTCACCAGGTAGTAGAATACAGCCTTCCCTGTGGCTGCACAACCATTCATCCATCTGAAACTCACTGTAAACATCTCTGCTTACCACAAAGAGATCAAGATGAAATAAATCTTCTAGGGCTTGGGGCAGTTAGGGTCAGAGACAGGGCTTCTGGAGACTGATTTCTGGGGCCCAGCTCTGGATGGCAACCCACACATTAAAAAGCAAACTTCAAACACTGCTTCTTGCAGAGAAGTTCAAATAATCAGGATGGTGATTAGAAGGGCAGAAGGGCCATAAAGGGGCTCATTTACAGTAAAACAGAAGGTGGATTAGATTCTTTTCCAAAAGGAAAATCACCTGGAGTTTGGAAGTTCAGAGCCACCATCTGGGAGCCACAAAACCAGAGGCGAAATGGGTCATAGTTGGATGAGTCAACCCTCTGTCCTTTGGGATAGACACGGGTCAGGCCCTTCAGGTTGTACTTCAACAACTCCAGTGGCTTTTGCTTAACGATGCTCTCTGCCTTGGTTTCCACAAAAGAACGGATTTCTCTGAAATCAGGATTGTCTATACAGGGATAGGAGGAAGAAGAGTGAGTACCAAAGGAAGAAAGAAGTTGACATACATACCATATTTTCACCAACACTTTGTTTTCCTTTGTTTTGCCTTGTCTTTTAATGCAATAATTGGCACAGTTTTCAGGCAGACACAGCAAAGACGTTGAAAATCAAGCCTAAAAGTTAAAATTGCCTTCCTGCCACATGCTTTACAGAAGGGCAGATAAGAGCCTGCAGTCATGTTCTCATCTCATCATTGCTAATAATGTACTTCTGATCACTATAACACATATTTAAATGAGACATCTTTTCCTGGGTCTAAATTGGGAGAAGAAAGGGTGAGCCAGGGTTAGCCAATGCCTCAAAAAATAACTATAATTATAATGTCTTAAATGCAGTGACAGCTTATTAAAAACATTTGCAAATAAACTTAAAGAAAAAGGGCACATTTGCTAGCTACTCCAGCACCAATGACAAAAACCTGGAATAAAAAGTACATATTTCAGTGTCAGAATCCACAGCTGCACATACACAGGCCCAGTTATATTATGAAGCCATACATCATTCCAACAGTTTAGTCCTGGCAAACATGTTCTTACAGTAAAAATTAAAAACTGAACAGTAAACATATTTATGAAGGTTTCTTACAAACAAAGCACAAGTGTTAAGCCAGAGTTTTTAATCTCAAAGAAGTCAATTGACACATAACTAGTGAGTTTCCCCATGGAACATACATCTGAGAGGGTGTCTCTAGTTAACTAATTAAAATTTGTGACAGTTCTTTTGTGATAGATGAATAGCACCAAGTTCCCTGGTGTACAATTTCAAAGTGCTATTGAAAACTGCCTGGGTGAAGCAGAACTTTGTTTTCCAGCAGGACAGATTTTATCTTCAGACCTAAAATCCCAACTAATATCTGAAAAGATAGTAGAAAGGGTAAAAATCAGATTAAAGGCAATACCTAAATTGTCCTTGGTTTTGCTTGTTGGCTTGCAGTAGATTACTAGATCAGATAATTCAATAGCAATTAACTGATTCTTTTCCCAGTATTTCCTCCTGTTCTCCTGGAAAACATAACAAAGTTTTAGATTATAGGAACAGTGAGTATTATGGCACAGGAGCTCCAGGGTGCTGGAGCCTTATTTGAATGCCTTCTTTGGTGTCCAGATTCCTATCTGACACCTTATACACTTGCACAGATGTAATGCACTTTCAGACCTAGCTCAGAGAACAGATAATAACAAAATGGTAAGGTTTAGTTGGGGATGTACTTTTAGGAGTCTTTTTGGTAGAGAGAAAGGTGTTGTTTTATAAGCAAGGGTTTCAGTTCTTCCCTGATCAGTCATGCTCAGAATCTTGGCAACATTTTTTTTTTTCTTTTAATATGGCTCTACTCAACTCAATTTTAGTTACATTCTTAACCCTATACCTCATATAAATGCAAATGTATGCAAAAAAAATGCAGAGGGTAGTAAAGTGTTTCTGTATCTATTTATAATCCTTGGCAGAACTTAAGTCTTGTTAGTAACTCCCAAACAGTGAAATTCAAACCCTCTGAGCATCATTCCTATGTCGTTTTCTATTTGTGCACCAAACCCATCATGTTCTGTATGGAAAATCATGCTAAAAATCTTGTTGAAATCCCCAGTACCAAACCCACTCTCTCTACTTCCACGTTTGCAAGCACCTGCTCTGTGGAAGCTGAGCAGTGTTCCCTGCCAGCAGAGACTGGAAGCTGCTGAAAGCAGCAAGACGTGTCCTGAGTGGAGACATTTGGGCTGGAGGATTTTCAGGCATAAGAAGCAGCTACAGGATAAAACATGTTAGAAGAGTCCCATACCGAACACTGATTAGCTTTGGCACAAAAGATCATGAAGCAGCAGCAATCAGGAAGTCTTCCAAATGAATTCCCTCAACAAGACAAACACAAAAGGAATGAAAATCAGAACTAGGGAGCCATGGGTTTCCAGAATATCTCATTGAACCAGAGATTATACATTGAAGTCTAAGAAAAACAAAGAGGAATATGATGTTTAGACTTGGAAATAACCTTGGAAAAAAGCTGTGCAAACCTCATTGTACTTAGTGATCAGCCACAGTTCCCAGACACTGCTCGACAGTAACCAGAGCTCTGAGCAGCAGCAGATCACTTTTTGGTGGTATGGATTCATTTCTAACCAGAACCCTCTAGACATAACCAAGCAGGAGAGCAAGGAACAGCCACCCCAGGGAGCAGGGAAAATGTCAATACTGAGCAGAGATTACAAGAGATATGAAGCTTAGTTTTAATTTTTTTGCGTAACAGACATTGCTCAAAACCAAACTCATTTAAAAATCCCCATGTATCACATTGCAGCACAGTCTTAATTCACGGTGCTTTTTTCCTTCCCCAAAATTCAGCCTCTTAACTGTACTGGCAACAAGGGCCTTTCCTCATCTTCATCCCCTCCCCATGCAGCAGTCAGTCTATCATGTGAACTTTGTAGAGGCCACACTGTGAGAAAAGCCTCCCAGCTGACAGAAATGAGTTTTAAAGCATCTTTGAACACAGACTGTTTAATACTTCCCCGACTGTACGAAAAGAGAAAAAGCTGCCAGGCTCCTGAAGAGCAATTGTTGTAGCATAAAAAACATTCAATCTGGGGACACTTCTTTTAGGTCATGTTTCTCTTTTTCTCATTTTTACTTCTGAATGAAAGCCTGGCACAAGAACTGTATCTCTCTTCCCCCAACAATAGGTCAACAGCTCCTGTGCTTCTCCCCTTGCTGTATTTACAGTCCTTTGCTTGAGACATCAACTTGTCTGCTATAAATAGGATCAGGACAACCCCCAGAGCACTTCCACTCCGTGTGATAGCGTGAGCCAACATGATACTGATACGTTTTCCATCAACCATATCACCCACTTAACAATAAAAGGTGAATAAAAGCAACCAAAAAAAGAGTATCCTTAAGCACAGCCAAAGTAAGGACTTTTTGGTCAATTCAGAGACTTCTTAAATACTAGAAAATATTACAGGGAGGTAAATTACTACATCAGAACAGGAAAAGCAAATCCTGAAAAATGTGTTTTAAGTGGCAGTAGAGGGACATAGAAACTAAACTTAGGTAGAATCCTTGAATCTTCAAGTATTTGGAAATACTATTATTGAAGAATTGGGAAATCCAGAATGTGGTTGTTAGTTACAAATAAAGCATTAGCCAAACAATCCTCTATCAGTACCACTGCATTCAATGGAAAACAGAGTTAGCAAAAAGGATAAGAGTTTAGGGAATGGCAGCTCAGATTTCACACATCCTCTCTGGTGGATTCACAGATCTGAAAAGAACAGTCTGATGTCAGAGCTTCTGCTGCTTAACACTGGGATGAAGCAGTGTGACCAGATGGAAAAATGTAGTGGTATCCACTCCGGCCTACCCAGCACATTTCACTGAGGGGCAGGGTGCAACACAGACAGTACTCTGCTGGAAAACTCCTGTTAACATCAATTTACATAAAATGCTAATTCATTTACCATTCCCCAGAGAAATTATGGAACAAGAAGCACAGCATCAATAAAATGAAAAGACAACAGCAATATGCAAGAGGGTGAAGGACCATGTGAGAGCAACATTTAGCAGTATAGGGCAGGTAAAGACAAAAGCTATTGTAAATTTATAGCAGTACATTATTAAAACAACAACAGATAAATTTGCAGCAATACCTCTTCTGCTGTTTTCCAAGTGATCTCACGGATACTTTGGTACCATTCAAAGAGTTCTTCTACTTTATCAGTTGCAAACTCAACACATGGATCTTCTGGATTCTTAGGTTCCAGAATGAAGACAAAAGGCTTTTTGTGTTTTCCTTGTGGCATTTTCACTGTTAGGTAATACCATAGCAAGAAATTTATACTAAAATCCAACAGCTCTTTTTCTAAGATGTCATTGTTGATTTATTGCAGCATTTAGTATTATGAAGTTTCAACACATTAATTCTGCTGGCTATATTAATACAAGTAGGTGTTTGAGGGGTTTGATTTATTTTTTCTTTAAATCTCTCTTGCTAAACATAAAAGAATCTATTCAATAGAGAAAGGTCAGAAGTCCATACATAAGCATTAGAGAATACACACCAACGTTGTATGTATTGAGCACCAGGATGCCACGACACAGAGAGCCCAGTGGGTTGTCCTCAATGATCTGAAAAACATGAGTTAAATCTGACCCTAAGTCTCCTGAGTGAACATGCACAGGACATTAACAAATAATAAATGTGCACCATTAAACCTCAGCTCTCTAATCTCAGCTTTCCTGAAAGCATGCTCACTATAGTGTTTGAAAATCTGTTTTCATATCAAAAAAACACACAAGAATGTCTTCAGTGAGAGCAGTCAAAACAAGACTACTTTGTAGTAGCTTCTGCCCTGACACAACTGTTCATTTTTCAAGTCTGGTTAAGGTTACAATAACCGGGGGTAGAAAATGTAATACTTGTGGTTCTCTCCAAAGACTTCTGGAAAATCATTAAAAGTGCTTCAGAAGAATAAAATAATTCAATGTTTTAATTTTGAAATTCAAAAATGTTAAAACGTATTACTGTTCAGTTCTGTTTTCTTTTGTTCAAGAGCTCTTTGTCCAAGATACAGGACCAGATTTTTTAGACTATTTTGACAAACAGGATTTGTTTATACATAAAATCTTGATAATGGAGAGTAAAATGACTAGTAAGGTGTGTTTGGACATACAATTTTCTTATCTGCAAATTTTAAGACGGTGATTATAGCATGTGGAATTGTGAGTGTATAAACCAGACTTCCAGTAGGTAGCCAAGGAAATGGAGGAGACAAACAGTAACCCTCACCTGATTTTCAAGCTCAGCAGAGTTATCAGATGACAGATCTTCAACATAATTAGATGGAAAATAATGTTGGACTTTTTCTCCATAATCCCCCTTCCACCTGAATTCAAACAGAAAAGTACAGAGAATGAAAAAAAAAAGTTAAAGATCTTCAAAAGGCCATTCATTACACAATAATCCCCAAGAAATTGGTCGTTAATACCCCATAATAGATTGTCTAGCTGGATATCACCAAAAATATAAATGATGAAGTAGCTAAGAGCTCTAACAAAGTGATCATTAACTGTAGTAACAGATGATTTCAGAGGGATTACAGTTACTGTAAACTGCAATTAATGACTTAAGAGGCTTTTTCCCCCTCCAGTACTAAAAATACTATTATGTGGTTGATTACCCTGTAGAAACCATAGGGAAACATTAGATTCCCAAGCTTTCCAAGCAATTTACAAGCCAGCTAAAAAAGAAAACCTGTTATGAAAGGAGACTGTACAGAGGTGGGTTTGATTCCTGAGAAATGCTTAGCAGAGCAAGGACAGAAGTAGAGCAGTGACTGCAATGACTTCCCAGAACACACAGCTGTTCAGGAAGGATGGATGTAGTATGGGAAAAATATGGGATATACCAGGCTATGGAGGTTCTGCAGGCTGAGGTTATTGCTGTGGGATAGAAAAGTAAAAAAGACATGAAAGGAGAATTGAAGATGACTGGATTTTGGGTTTGGGATGTTGTTTTTTTTTAACACACTGACATAAAGATTTATAAGGGCACAGTTAATAAGCAGAAATCAAACAGGCAGTTTTAAAAACTACTACTCAAAGCTCATTTTTCCTCCATCTAGTAAGTCACCAGAAGTTCTCTCAGGAGAAATCTTTGTCCTTACCAGCCTCCAGTTTCCTTTGTGACATTATGAATTAAAGCTCCTCGAGAGAAGCTCAGTTCATCACTCCTTTTGGCTCTGTAGTCATACAAGGCTTTCACTGTTCTCTGAGGCTTTAAGATAAACAGAGCATATGGGTCATCTGGGGGGGACAGGTCATAAAATAATCAATAATGCAATCTTAAAACAAAAAAAAATAGGGAGGATTGGATTTTTTGTTGTTGTTTTTGTTATGAAGCTTAGAAAACAAAATACTGAAGTTCCAGAGTGACATCTATTGGTGGAAGTAAGTGATGCTACTTTGGTATTCAAGCTTGGGAAAAAAAAAGAAAAAAAAAATAAGGTAAAAAACATAAAATCAAAAATTAAAACAAAAAAACAAAGTGAAATTTAAATCCTCTATTTTTATAGCACATATTCATAAGCATTTAGAGTTTTCAGGCTTAGATACATACAAAACCTCCACTTCAAAACCACATCTATTTTGCTGGTCACATTTCCTTTAGGAAGACATACAGTTTTAGCAGGATAAGTTAAACCTTTATCTTGAATTTACTGCTACTCAAATGCTTCAGCAGCAATACAAATTCACTGGCCAAAAAGACTAAAAAGAATTACGGTCACAAAATTTACAAGTAGGTGATTTTCATGAGAATTTACAAGTAGGCAGGCACTAGCAAGAATTACAGGTAAGTAATGTGTGCTGGAACACTTGTTTTTAAAACAGTATATAAAGTATAAAAACTCTAATAACTCATTAATAGACCAAAGACACCAAATTTTTATAGAAAGCATGTGAATAAACTCTGCACTTACTTGTATATGCAGAATATGTTTGGTAATGGAACAAGAGTGCACAGACACCCACAGACACAGAAATTTTCATGTTGTACTTTCTTTCCATGAAGATGTGCCCTTCTCAAATAGAATCCTCTCACAGGTATTTCATTTTGGAGGCCCACCAAATCAAAAAATTTCCACAGACCCAAGTGCAAAACATGCCCATATTGCCACTCTGAATGAATCACTACAGGATTTGCACACGAGAAAATGTTTGGGTACAAATTTTAAAGAGAGGCTAGTAAAAAGTCACACCCTTTAAATTTCCACTGTCCAGTTCCCCCTAGACCAAACAGCCTTGTTGGCTGTTGTGAATTGATGCTTTCAATTCTTATTACTGCCAACAGGAAATCAAGAAGTCTAATTTTTAGAAGTCTACACATACCACTGTGGGGGTGATTTCACTGGGCTCCACATACATCTTGACTTCATAGAGGGAATTAATATCTTTTTCCTAAAAACAAGAAAGAAAAAATAATCAAATTCCAGGAATCAAAAAGTTATAAAAGTACTTTATGATTATAGAACATTTATTTCTGAAACCAACTTTTTGACAGCACATAGGCCAACAGAAGAGAACAGACACCTCTGTTTTGCTCACTTCCATAGCTGAACATAACAGAAGATGAGTGTGTTATTTAATCAATTTTTGCCTCAGTTTAATGAACAGTAAAACCCAATGAAACAGCAATACCACATAAAGTATTAAAGTATTTGAATCATTAAAGTATTTGACTGATCTCCTAATCAGTCAAAAGCTTTTTGATTGTGAGTACTCTTCTATGTGCAACCAGAAAAGAAATACCTGCACTTACGATTTCTGTGTTTCAGTACTTTAGTACCAGTACGGGTTTCACTACCTAGATAACCCTGCAACAATACAGAGTCATATATTTCATTTTATCCTCTCCTTGTGATTCCATTTGAACCCAGTTCTAAGATACAGAACCTTTGCTACAGGCAACATTATAAAAAATCTGAGGTCTAAAATCTTTTTAGTCCCTTTTAGACTTCCCAGAAAAAAGAAAATCCCCAAGTTTTGATTTCCTCACACCTGCCAGATGTGGTTTCCTAGAGCTTCTAAAAGACATACACTTGAAAAGTAAAGACAGCACCTCGGGCTTTCCAAAGCAAAGCTCCCTCCAAATGAAACACATCCATCCAGAAAGTAGCCCTTTATCCTCAGCTAATTATCCAGGCTCCTAGTTTAGTCAATGGCTAGAGACAATACTCCTGGGGAGATTTCCTCATGTTTATCTCAGAGTGATCCTTCAGTGGTATCTTTTACCACAGAAGGCAGTGGGACACCATCCCTGAAATGTCCAGAGTGAGAAGCACAGCAGAATATTTCATTTTTTCTGAAGCACCTAGCAATTGGCATCTGCATGATCATTTAAGATCAATGACCACTTCAGCAATAGAAGACATGGCCAACTGTAGGCAAGGTTATTATCAAAAACTCATTTTAGTAGGGTAACGACCCCCTGTACACAGTGGGGCTTCTCTAATGAAATCATGGGGAATGCAAGAGGCGGCTTTTAATCAAAGATGAAACTGTTCTTCACACCTTTGTGAGAGAAGTCAGTATAGCCACCTCAATTTCATAAAAAGTGACCTGCTTAACCTCTCCCAGAGATCCCATGCCAGAGCCAGAGCTCAACCCAGCCCCCCAGTCCATCCCAGTCCACCCCAGTACCGTGCTGTAGCGCTCCAGCAGCTCCTCTGTCACAGGGTAGCGCAGCTTCATCTTCCTGTACAGTGGGTGCTTCTCGTAGTAGGTCACCAGCTCCACCAAGCTCTCAAAGTAGGCTGAGGTTCCCAGCACAAAGTGCCTCCCCTCCTGCTGGATTCGGAAGTGCTTCACCTTCCCCTCCGCTCTGTGGAACAAGGGCACAGCTGGGAAAGGTGTCAGTGCTCACAGGGAGAGCACCAGGGCTCTGAACTGCACCAGAACTGCTTTGTGCACCTTTGTCATGCGAAATGACTTCTCTCTCTAACAAAGCCTCTTTTATTCAATTATGATTATTATAATCTTTTAGATAGCTACAGAAATCAGTTTTTTAAAAAAAAAAAAAATCTCTTGGGCTTGAACAAAAGGTTTGTGTTTGTATTGATAAATGCAGAAAAACCATCCATTGACAACCATCCCATCCAAAAAGACCCCTACACTCTTTTCAAGCTGCTGAAGTTTTGGTACTTCTTGATTTCTCTGGTGTGAAATGGCTTTATTGAGATGCTGCAGCTCCAGCCACTTCAATGTCCACCTTGGTAACACCAGAAAACTTCACCCCAAAGTACACAGGAGACTGGGAATTTTTGATATCTTCAATACACAGTAAGACATGTAAGTAAGCAACTTTATACATTGCCAAACTATGCATTTTCAGAAAAACACAATTTGATCTGAAGGTGTGATGCAGAACACTACAATTCTATATATTTCATTAATATTTTTACAAGAACCACAAAACTATTCAAAACTATTTCCCCTGGTGAGAGGAGACAACAATTTCACTTTGACATTTCAGTTTTATGAAAGAAAGTTTCTTTTTCTTCTTTCTTTAAAGAAAGTTCTATGACAGGTCAGGATTTCTAGAGGGTAAGGACATAGAATCATTGATGAACCTGTACCTGTGCACTGCAGTTTTGAAGGAAACTTCAAAATAACACTCTTTAGCAAGGAGTGTCAGGGAATGAAAGAAGGGCCACTCATAGTTCTGTATGGGAAGAATGGGACAGCTGGTGCTCAAACAATCTTTATAAAAGCATAAAGGTTCAGGCCAGTCACAAATTAACTCTTGCACACACTCTTATACATGGACCTGCTGCACAAATCAACCATGCTAATTATTCAAAGTTTGAAAGCAAAAATAGTATGACTCTAAAGTGACCATTATTTTTTTAAAAGAAAAAACAGAATATTGTTGGGCTGCTAGGCAAGGTAGTCCTAACCTTATTTTCTTACCTGAAAGTCATGGCAAAAGAATCAGGCTCATCTCTCTTTCTAATGAGAAAGGCTCCATCCCGAGGAATTCGCATGAGCATGTCTTCTGCCTCACCCCGACTCAAGTTGTTATAATACCAACTGCAACAGTGAAAAGCCAGAATGGGCAAAGCATTACATGGCTTGTCAAATGTCATTTTTGAGAATAACAGAGAGCGTTATTAACAGCAGAGTTTCAAACATTCTAAGAAAAATTATGTATTAGATTTTCCCTACCTTGGCACCTATGACAGCAGTTTATTACAAAACATTGTAAGACAGCAGTTTATTTTGGATGAAAGCATCAAGAATATATCAGAACACCTTGTCTGTCTGAAATCATAAAACATAAATCTGCATTTATTCCTAAAACAAAGGCACTGTGTCCTGCTTTTAGTCTGCCATTCGGTTTTCAGCATTTATTCAATTCTGACACAGTAGATTTAAGATAAAGCCTAAAAACAGACCAAAGAAAGACACCAGCAATTTTAATTTTTATTCAAAGCTTGATTTTTATCTTTCACCATAGCAATGGGCTTGTCTTGGATCCAATGTGCCTTCAGTGAAGCTGTGGCCACTTATACTGGCAGTGTAATTCCAGTTTATGCAGAAAGGCAGGAAAGTCTAACCCTTAAATTCTCCTTCCCCTCTCACTGGCTTCCAAAGTTATCTATGGGTAGTCAGTGAATCCCAGATCCCAGGGGGGCAAAAAAATAAAGAATTTTAAAGTCACAAATTAGTATTTTACATGCAAAGATTTACTTTTGCCCACTGCAAAGAAAACAGAACAAAGGGCAATGATAACAGTATTCTGCCAAAAAACAAGAGCAAGCTCTGCCCAGGCTCTATGGCAGACAAATACCAGCTTCAAATAAGCACCATGCTTAATTCCTGTCACAGGGGTTGAAGTCAGCCTAACCAGTTCTGACAGGGTGAGGTGGAGGGTGGGGTTAGGCAAATGTGGCTGTTGGGCTCACTGCCCCAGTAAGAGAGCTTCCAGATGGCACAGACCATAACCACTTAGTTGCCAAACCACAGCCAACTACTAAACATCCAACCCGACCCTCTGGGGGTTGTAAAACACTGCACAGACAAAGGAAGAATTGGCACATTTCCACAGCATTACAGTTCTCACTGATCTTCCAGTTGCTGCTAGGAAATTGCTTTCCCAGTGACCACTCTCTTGCACCAGGTTCTCACAAATTCAGTATTTTCCCTCAGCATCTTTCAGGAAGCCTGTTCCTCAAACTTCCACAGACAAGCAACACTGAAGTGTGCTCCTGAATCCAGGGAATTTTCTATGCAAAAATCCCACCTAAAGCAAGCAAGGACACTTGACATGAGAGCAGTGCTTGGCTTCTGTACGTACTCTTTGGTCTCGTGAGGGCTGGGGTTGGGCACAGCGTCGGTGAGGCGCAGCTCAAACTCAGCACATCGCAGGTGGGCCTCCTTGTAGTGTTGGATGAGATCATAGATGCTGTCAAAGGTGAGGTTGTCTGTCAGGTAATATTTCACAGTGTCCCCGTCACTGGTGGAACGGATCCGGCAGTGCTGGACTCTGCCTGACCTCCTGAAGGAGTAGAGAGGGCATAAAGGAAATATAGAGTTTGTAGCAGATTTTATTCTTTTGAAGTATTTCCCCACCCACTCCTGGTTAGCTACTTAGTGAGCTTGTGAAGAGGCAAGAAATCTGTGTCATCTCATAAAACAGCCAAAGTAGCAAACAACAAACGTCCTGACAAGGGAGGTTACAGGACCAAAACCAGTATTTTTCAACTGACAGCTGTTTAAAATATGGCATAAACTTATTCTGCAAAATTTGCTTTGACAGCTCTCTGGGTCAGAAATCCATCTGACACTATTCCTTGTAATGTTCCAACCAGAAAAAAAAAACAAAAAAAAACCACCAAACCCAGACAAACAAATCCCACATTAAATTTGTTTGACAATGACCATACCAGAATGACAAGGTGTAATCGTCAGGGAAAGCTTCACTTTCCCTGACCAGGAATGTCCCATCCTTGCCACCCATTTCAGCACAATATTCCTGGAGCAGTTTCTCAGCAGTTGTTCTCCCCCCTTTCATTTTCCCATGGAACCATTTCTCTTTCAAGTGCAGTTCAGTTCGTTTCACCTCCTAGACCAGAAAATAAGAATTTTTTTAAGTGCATTTCTAATTTTATCACTTTGAAACTAAGTACTTGTTATTGGTGATATGTAACAATCTACTATTTCAGGATTTCAGCTCTTCCTAGGCCTGAGCTCTCCAGCCAATCACTTTTATAATTACCCCGGTTTACTATCCACAATAGCCAAGTAACACATTAGCAACACAATATACATAAGTTCATTCTGCTTAGTTTGAGAATAGCAGTAATACTTAAAAGACTTAGTGCACACATCAGTATTAGCATAGAAGTACTGAAATTACATTTCATTGTCCTTGTACTCCTCCACTAACCAGGGGAAAAAGTTATTTTATTAAAAATAAGGTTAACTAAAGTTGACCTTGGCAAAGACCCTTTTATAGTTTTTTTATCCCCACACTTGTTATCTGAAACAAAACCTCTACAACTTCATCAGCATAAAAAAGACATCTGTAGTCATTTAAATAATCTTAAATAACAAAAAGAGAATGCTTAAATAATAAAACACAGCCATCACCTTTGATGAATCTTCATCAGCACTTTGTTCTATATCATCACTGAATGAAAGTTTTTCATCAGCAATAGCACAGTAGTGCCGAGTCCATTTCTGAAAGTTGGGAGATATTAAAACCATTAACAGAGGGAAACTCTCTAACCACTCTCAAGCACAATCTCAAAACAGGATGCAACAATAAAAAAAATAATTTCTTCCCCTCATCCACAACTGTTCAACTGATAGTATTACTTACAGAAATATTAAGAAAATTCACATCAGCTTTCAGTATTACAGAACTGATTAACAACCTGTAGCAGATGACATAGAAATAATACCTGTTCTATTGTGTCCCACATGTAAAGTTCTCCTTGTTGCTTCTTTTCTTCTTTCTTTTCTTCCAAGTTCACATCAATGTCTCCCTTTGGCCCCAGTTTTTTGTGCTTAAAAAACAGAAAAAATCAACATTCATACACTTAGAGAGAATCCCACACAAAATTGGTCATAATGTTTCAGCACATTCAGTGTTACTGGAAGTATTTCCCTCCATTGCACAGCCACCTTCTTTCATTATCAAAACAGCAGCTGTTCCACAAGGAACAACAGGGCTGGAACTTCTTTCTTTAAAATTAGATCCTCTAATAAAGGTTAAAAAAACTAGTAGAGGTATCATTGAAGCAGTGAAGAAACAAATAGTTTGATAAGATCTCACCATTCTTTAGAGAACAGAAAACATGAAGTGACACATACCAAAAAATAAGGATAAACAGGAATCCTTCTGCAGAAAGTAGCACATAAGGAACAAAAATCAAAACCAAAGGAAAAGATAAGGAATTAAAATGAATGAGGAATTCACCCTTTTATGAGAAAAAGGAGTACAAGTCAAGTTCTACTTTCTTTAGAGTGTTCACAAAAGTGTCTCAAGGGGCCACAGGCAATAATTACTTAACTGCACTTAATGATGGGATTGCCTCATATCAGACCTCAACCACACTCAGTTTGGCACAGCCTACTCTTGGCTGATTTCAGTTTGACAGGTCTGTCTGAAAAATCTCACAGGCCAGTGGAGTAGGTGTTGCCTCTGACCGTTTACTGACAACATCTTCCAAACAAAAGCCAAACAACACAACCAGCTCACTGCAGGTGCTGATCTATTTAAAGACTCTTCAATGCTCTTTTAGACAGCACAGAGTGATATGGATGTTCTCTTGTGCACACTCTTAATAGTTTGTAATTCCCTTTAAATCAGATCTGTCATATTACTTATCATGTGCCTATGCAAGTCCCCTCTCTGCTCTGCATGGAAAAAACAGTCTGGAAAGAACAAAAAAAATCCCCAAAAACTTAAGCACAGAAGTTTTCCACCTTATAGTGGGATTCTGTTATTTCAAATCTTACATTCAAGAGCATATTCTTATACCTACCTACCTACCCTTATTTCCTCCATTCAGATATCTAATACATAGGATGCAATACAAGAGCAAGAAAACAGAAGCATGAATGAAAGTAATTATCATTTTACTACAGAGATCATGAGCAGCCCTGAGATTCTTCACCAAATTTTGCCATTTGAAAAGTTCTACCAGAGTTTCAATCTGAGAAATCTTCTTTTGGTTGTGTTGTTGCTGCAAAACAGAGCTCATAAAACACGTGGACTGCCCACAAGGTCCAACACAAACAGAGACTGCCTTCTCATAGTACTGCCTCTGTTTCACAAGTGGCTCACTAAACTGCATATTTAAATCACACTGAGTTAGCAAACATTCATCAATTTGTGAAATCCTCACAACTTCAGTATGCAGCCGCAAGAGTTTGGGTTTCACTTGAATGAAAGGCAGTTTTTGAAAAAAAACTGTAATACTGATCTATCTTCCTATCTAAGAACATACTTCTATCATTTTTAAGCAGGCCACATGGTGTAAAACATCTGGGATGAACATTTGCAGCAGTGAACCCTTGTTGAAATTTAGCAGTGACATTTCAGGAGCTGGAAGACCTTTAGAAAAGAAATTACTTTTGATCTGGCTTGAACTGCCAAGACTTACTGCAAAGGAAACCAAGAGCAAGCACTTTAATACAGAGTTTTACAGAACACTGTTCATTACTGCCAAATGTAACCAGTAAACCCTTCAAGCAAGGGGTTTCTTGGAACTTATCTGTGAAGTCAGGAACAGTATTTCAGGCTCCTGCTCTTGTTTTCAAAGCAAGCCCACCTTGATGATGATTTTTTCTTTCAACTGGGTTGGTGATGGGAGCTGATCTGCACTGGCTTCAACAGGCTTCATCAAAAGCTGATCCCCAAACACCTCCTTGAACACTCTGGCCATGTGTCGCTGCTGCTCCACACTGCAGTGCTCTTCAATTGACAGAATGACTGGGTATCTTTGGGGGACAAAACCAAGGTGAATGAAGACAATTTCTTTTTGCTACCGCTGGCAAGGCAAAGAAGACAATACCCTCCCTCAGCCCCCAGAAGAAAGAAAATATTTAAAGGAAGCAAGACAAAAGGAAGATATAGACACAACAAATAACAGATGTGCAATCAGAATTGCCAGGGTTAGAAGGGACCTGTGAAGGCCTATCTAATCCAAACCTCTTCTTTGGGAAGGCCCAATTCCTAGATTAGATCATGTTGTTCAGAACTTTAACCAGCCAAGATCTGAATATCTGCAAGGACAAAGATTCCCCCTCCAAGCTCTTTGGGCACAGTTTCACTGCTAAGGTACCATTATGTGAAAATTTGTTTCTCCTCTCCTCAAAATCATGTCTGTTTTCCATCACATATACTCTGAGAAGAGTCTGAAAGCATAATGCATCCCATATTACGGTTGTCACTAACACAAAGTTCCTTTGCAGGCACTGATCCACATGGGAAAATACTGTCTCTCTGTGTCCAAGTGGTAACATGGAAAAACAGGACACTGACAACTTGATTTCTTCTCCAGTTATTGGGTAATATTTTTCATGTAAAGGACATTTCAACACAAGTTAAAGAAGGGCAGAGATGCAGATCTAAACTGATGTTACCAATTCAAGAGACATGCTATGAGTTCTGTATCTTCTCAGCTATGACCTTCCCTACAACAGGAACACCACGTGACAGACTTATTATTTGTCAATTGTAATATTTTATTAATTTTTTTAAAGATTTAAGACATACTATTAAGCCCTTGAAATTTCACTTTCAACTTAATAAAAGAAGATCCAGAAAAGGAGATGGAAACCACTTTAGGGTGGTCACTATCTTCCTTAGCAATAAATGGTTATGCACTGGGACTCTTCCTCAAAACAGCATCAATTAAAGACCCACATGTGGCAATAGTGAAAGCTACTGGAATCCATTATTCTATGATTAGTTTTTGCTCTAGATTACAAAGAAATTAATTTCAGAAAGGTCTAAGCATATGAAAACAGGCTGAAGGAAAACAAAGCTTACTCAGATGTAACAAAGGCATGGTCTTTGATTGCCTGAACTACATCATCGAATTTGATCTTTGTTGTCCGTGTCCACCCATGGTAAATGATGGGTTTCCCATCAGGACCATCCCAGCAATCCACTAAGAAACACAAACAATGGAAAAAGTGAGAGACCAGGTAGCTCCTTAAATGAATCTGGTAAGAAGAATACATCCAAAACTTCAGTGTTTTATATACTGATTCATAGACCTTAGTGTTCTAATAAAACATTCTATCAGATTAATTTATATCTCTCACAGAGGAAACTGAGTTTATTTGAGTAAGAGCAAGACAAATAAACTACATTATAAAATGTTTCCAAAGCATTATTATGTAGGAATCTGGAAATAAGAGATCCAGCCAACTATAGTGTAAATCAACTAGTTTACAGTCATTTTCCAGGGATAAATACACTCCAACAAGTGACAAGCTGAGAGCTTCTGTCTTTTGTTGATTTCAACCCTGAAAGTCTAATTTGAGATACAGTTTGCATTAGTCAAATAAACAACATGAAATTAAAGTAAAAACTCTCAATAAGGAACACAAGCACAGAGCTGAAGACACATACACAATTGCTGGAGAACAAAGACATTAACTGATTTACAAGCAAGTTAAACAGGATGACAAAAGGCACCACATCACAAAAATCTCTGTGCCTTAAGCTTGTCTGTATTACAATGAAGGTAAATAAACTATCTATGCTACACAAGTACTCCAGCTTAAATCCTAAGCTTTCATATAGATGTAGGATTGGATTTTTGGTGTAAAGTAAGAGGAAATTTAGGAAGACTCTCTTAAAACTGCCTGGGAACGTTAATCAGAGGAAGTGAATGAGGCATTGGTGAGACACAAGGAAAAATAATTTAAGGAATCAGTGATTTTTATATGACTAACTTCAAATTCAGAAAACAAACAGTTCTTGATTTCAGTTCTTTTTTCCTTTTTGGTAAACAGGGGAAACTGTACAGAAACCACCCCACAAGCTCTTTACTCACACTCAATACATCGACATCCCATCCTGAGGCACCTGATGTAAGCTTCTGTGGAGGATTCACTGCGAAGCTGGTCTCCTGTCAGGTATCTAAGGAGTAAAAAGAAATGGTTACAGATAGTCAATTTCAACCAGTTCTCACTCACTGGGTGACATTGTGCCTCCTGTCATGGACAATGTTGGGGTTTTTTTGGTGGTGGTGGTGGTGGTTTGTTTTGGTTTTTGTTTTTTCCTAATTCTGATGGAAGAACAAGACTTTGCTGAACCTGATGCTATCAGGTTTTTGAATGGACCAAATTATAGGAGGTTAAAGGCTCAATCTAAACTCTGACATCCTTCTAGAGAACAAATCATGAGCTTTGAAACCTACCTAAACCTCATCATACTCAGGCATGAGCATGTGGGAGGGATGCGGAAGGTATTTAGAGTAATATCACACCTTATACTTCAAAATACACCTGTATGCTATATCCATATCCACTTTATTGCATTCCCTGCGTTATTTTATTTGTTCATCTCTCCTCCCTCTCTTTACACCTTTTATTCTACTGCAATGCTAGACAAGCAAATCCTCTTCATTTGAAGACAGTTCAAACTCATCATCACATACTTTGTACAACTAATGAATTCTGACATGAGCTCAATGAGGCTATTGGTGCTTGAAAAAAAAAGAAGCCACTTAGGTAACTTAAATTTTTGAAAGGAGAGAGGCTTTCAGAAGTTTCAACTCTATACATTTTAATTTTTAACAGGACTTGGGTTTTCTGGCAGCTGAGCTGAATTCTATCTCAAAACATGTATTTTCTTATGAGAAAGGGAAAAAAGAGTCTCAGAAACTTTATTTACCACATCTATACCACACTGTAGGTATGTTTCACACATCCATACAGCACATTTCTGGCATAATTTATTGCTACATTTGTTTGAACTGGGATAGATAACGGGACTTTTGGTAACTTACGTGTTATGAGAGGAAGAAATCCAGTAGTGGGACAAAGGATTATTCATGTTCTGCACATCTATTGAATCATATTTCTCATCCCAAATACTGTTTTCTTTTGCAAATAGGTTTTTTATTTAAGAATAAAAGAAACAGAGCAATGCAGCAAGAGGGGCCTAGAGGCCCTGCCACCCAGTGAAAATTCTGTGAAAGAAGTCTATGAGAATTACTGCAAAGTACCATTATCTCACCTCATCAACAAAGAGGAAAGGTTCAGCAGTTTCTCTCATAGTGTCGTCAATAAACTTCGTCATCCGTTCTCGGACTTTATTGAGATCCTGTGCCCAAGATTCCTTCAGATAATTGCAATACAGTAAAAAAAAAATTTAGAAGTGGTGTTATTCAGTACAAAAATCAAACAAGGAACAGAGAGTTCTACAGAGAGATACACACTACATAAGTACATATATACATTGACAGGGAGAAAAAAGCTGGCCTCCTTGGACATTCCTTAACTCTAATCTCTCTCATTTCTAAGTGCAAGCTGAACATCCTTTGAAAACAGTGAAATCGGGAGAAAAAGAAAGCAAGCTTACACAGGAAGTGTAGGTCTCACTTTTCAATCACATTTGCAAAGTGCCTAGCAAATATTGCACCAGTTTTTCACATGAAATCTGTGCTAAATAAGATTATATGAAATCCATGAAGACACAGTTCCAATCCCTGCCTTCATCCTTATCTGCTTGCTGGCACAGGACATCTAGCTGGCTCCATTCTTTAGGAAATTACCTTTGACTGGAATGCAGGCAGGCAGCAATGTGAGAGCTGCAAAAATTGGCTGCCATGGCCAAGGCATTACCCCAATGGCCCTCTGGTGACAGCAGTGACCAGGCCAGGCATTAATCTCTGACTGCACACAACATTTACTTCTAACCTTGTCTGTTTATCTACATGACTAAGTGGAAGCTTGTTAAAACCTTATTTACTTTGTCCTCTCTCTTGTCCTCTGGTGTACCTTCAGAGGCTTTATAAAGATGAAAAATAATAGTTCTTATTGACACAGTGGATGTCAATGGAAACAAAGGAAAAATCTTTCCAAGGCCCAGTATTACAGTGGCATCAATCATATTCTATGAGTCTTCACATTTCTTTTAATGAGCACAGAATTCTGTGATACAACCCCAAGAAAAAGAGTTCAGTATTTCTGTAACCTTCCCACCTGCTGCTCGTGTAGCAGGAATCTCTGGAAGTCATGGAGGTGAACTGCTGAAGCATCTGGACGGTCAGTATTTCTTTAAAAAAAGAAAGGGAAAGTGAAGCTAAAGAAATAAGAGACGTTAATCAGATGTTAAAGCAGAAGATGACATGGGTCTGTATCTTGGATTTACAGTGCTGGTGGTGCTGCCACCAGCAAGAGACAAGGTACCAGCATGGTACCAGGAAGGTGCTTATAAATCTATGCTTTTAAACAGCCTCACAGTCTAACTCATTACATGACCCAGAGCTAAGATAATACTCAGTACTCAGAGCAAACTTTTAAAGTTATTTCTTTAATCTGTTAGTGTCATATTCAAAACTAAGATAAAGCAGTTTAATCCACAATCAATGGGTTAGCAATGCCTGGGACTTTCCTGTTGTACACATCTTACTTAAACTTTCAAGTCCATCAAGTGGAAGATGCAGAAACAATTCCTATCAGCATTCAGCTCAGGTCTAGGCACCACACCACCCTCCAGACTGAAACAAAACTTTCTGCATCAAATTGTCCTTCTATAGCTCTGTTCAGCTCCTTATAAAATCAGAGGACAGGCAACTTCAGTCCATACCATTTTTGTAATCAGAAAGTAAAAATCACCAGGACTTATTTCCAATGTAAGTTTACCTTTCTGAATGCAAAAATATTAATGATTTCTTTTCACTTACTAAAACATAAGAACAACAAAAAAAAAGAAAACAAAACAAAAAAACCAGTGAGATAATTAAAAAACAATCCTGCAACATTATATCCATATGAAAATGCAGTAAAATAATACAAATGAAGAGTCTCACCCAAGAATGAAAACAGAGGAATCCTTTTTGAATTCATCAAGAATCTTAAAACAAACAAAAAACAAACAAACAAAAAAAGAACAAACATAAAAAAGGGAAAAAAGAGAAATAATAACAGAATATCCAATTTTCTATCTAAGTCCATCTAATAATGTCCATTGTTTTGGAAAGGGGAAATAAACACCTGTCTGCTCTAGAAAAGTTGCATACAAATTGGCAAGACACCTTTTTAATTAAATGTGAGAAATAAGAAAAAAAATACTGCCAAGGCTGGCAACTGCACTTCAGGCCTTTCAATGTGAACACAATTCTCAGACAAAATACTTGCTTTGATAAAACGTCTTATACAAACAGTCAGATTTCTGGGGAGCTTTTTGTGCTTGATATCCCTGAAAAACTGGAATTAAGTATCATCCATCACATTTATTCAAGTGAATATAAAACCTAAATTGTTTCTAGCTTGGCACAGCATCATTAGAAATTGTAGGAAACTTATCAAGGGACCCAAAGGACTTGTAAGCAAATTGAGAAAGTTCTTTGCAATGATTCACACAGGGCAATAACAGGAGCTTGAGGAAGTCAGAGAGGCTCCTTACTGTGTGTTTTACTTTTCAGCTTTCTGCTCAAGCTAATTAACAGGACTTTCATGTCCAAAACTAAAATCCTCAGTTAATCTAGGTTTTTTAATCGCTTCACCATGATTTCAGCATCACTTTTAAACAGCACAACCCCTATTGCCACAAAGTCAGCATTGACTTTGACTATTGAAGCTTCTAGTTTAGCATCTGCAAAATTAAAGTCAAATCCACAATAAGCTCATAGTCAACAAAGACATTCATTCAAGTAATTTCAAATCATGTGTTTTCACACAGTTTTAAAGCGTTCCTAACTTTCAGAGGCACTAAAAGCATGCAGTTTCTAGCAGCTTCATGAATCTGCACAGCAAATACAAGGAAACAGTAGTCAGGCAGTTGCTCACTTAAATTAGCTAAAATGGAATTCCATTGCATTTATGCCTCCCAAGGACTGTCTGATGCATGTCCCGTAAAGGACTTGCTGCTGGCAATCTGGAATATGGAGTTGCTTCTACCAGTAAACAATACCAGCTAAATCTAATGAAAAGACATTCTGCATCCTGAACAGACTCACAAAAATAATTCCTCCTAAAGACCTGTGAATATCTGTGCCTATCTCTACTACCAACACACAAGAAGCAACATGAATGACTTGTTCATCTCCTTAGGCCAATTGCTGTTACTGACTGTTATCTACACATTGAGTAGAGCACTGCAGCCTTTTCCTGGTACAAGAATGAGGAAAAAAGAAAATCAGTAACAAAAAGATAACCAGCTCCCACTACTCTGATGCAGCAGTTGAACAGCATGAAGACCATTTATGACAAGCTTACCAATTTCTGTTGTTCAAACATGATTTTCTTGTAGAACAAATGAAATTGTTCAAAAGTAAGCTCTTCCTTGTGAGCGCCTATTTCCTACAACAGAAAGTAGCATGCAGTCAATTTAGAATTCCCTGAACTGCACTTGCACAGTGAACAAGTTACTCTTACTCTAGTTGGCATTCTGTCATGCATTCTGTTCTACTCCAACTTTATTTATTTATAACCACTTGGATTTTTAAATTTGTTTATGTTTTTTAAGAATACAAACAAGAAAACAGATGTTGGTTTATGACATAGTGCTCCGAGACCCCATCTTTGGCTTTGCATTTTGCACTTCATTTCCACGACAGAGAGAAGTAGAGCTTCATTTATTCATTGTTACCTGGGGCAGCAGAAACTAGAATGTATGCTTTAAGGGTGGAGAGTTGGAAAGCAGGAAAGGGTGGGGATATTCAAGGTTCCTGTAGGAACAGAATGACCTTCAAAAGTTATTAATATTGGCATTAGTCGGAGAGAAGAGGTTATTATTTGATCATATTTAAAAAAAATTAATATGAAATTTATGTAGAAGAAAAAAGAGATAAAATACTTTTCTATCTACTTGCTCAGTACTGGAGTTCAAAACCCAATGTTGGTTTTGGTCAAGCACACAATGAAAAGAAAGAACATTTACGTGTGCATTTTCTTATACCCTCAGATATAAGCAAAACCAAGCTGACAAATTAATCAATATATTTAACTGTAGATTATATGAATCAAAAACAATTAAGTGACCTGAAAAGAAACATCAACACTTATCAAATAATACCAAACACATTTAAATAATGAGGTACTTACCGCAAATTTGTCCTTCAAGTACTTCACGCTGCTCACTTTGAAGTTTACCTGGGGAAGGACAGTTTTCAGCTCTCTAAGACTGATACTGAGGGGGAAAAAAGAAGAAAGAAAAAGATAGCAAAATCAACTGTGGTGTTTTGTGTCTAGTCAGCTACTCATATTTTCTATCAACACAAAAATGTGACCATGGAAACATTTTAGGTAGGGCTCATCTCACATACCTATAAACTTACATAAACTTAACACCTACAGGGAAGCAAGCTAGACATGGAGAAACAGGCATTTCAATTCATTTGGAATTAAAAGAACCATGTTGCATAGATATGTATTTCTTTCTCAGCAAGTAATCAGATCTAGATGATCAGCTCAAATGTAGATTTTATACACGGTGAGATGAACTAAAGCCTTTCTTCCACTGAAACTGAATTACAGACACCGAGAACACCATGCAAAGGCTGTACCAAACATGAGCACAAACAGAAAATAAAAAGCCTCAATTTTCTGTACCATTTTAACCTTTTTCTCCAGATGTTATTGAGTCTGGTAATGCTGATTTGCAGCAGCAAGACTCTTCCCTTCTGCAACATCTGAACATGATCTCAGTTCTCTCTCCCAACTAAGTCTTCCCTTCCAGTTCCGTTTACACAGACCTGCTGATTCTTTTCACAGTTTCAGAATTCCCAGTGATAACCCAGCAGCACTTCAAAAACCAAAGTTTTCTAGATAACAGCAAGGCAGCAAGCAAGAGAGCACAGGTACAAGACCTGTGGGTCCTATTGCTGAAGCCCACAAAGTATTAAAGCAATAACAACAGTACCTAACAAAAACAAGACTGAGGGACTCTGCCTTGACTTACAGGACAATTCAGAAGGCATTAAACCCCTGCAAACACAGTCAGAACAGAATTGCTTGAAAACAACAAAACCAATTAGCATGTTGATGAAAGTAACACCTCCATGGCAAGCAGCTACCCCATGAGATATTCTCATCTCTATTGTGCAAGGGGGAAAAAGGCAAAGCAAGAAGGAACTATGCCAAAGTCCATGCCCAAGCCAGATTAGACCTCAGGAAATTCCTGGCTTTCCGCCTTGTCGCCAGACCTCTGGAGGAAAACACTATTAGAAGCAAGAACGAGCGCTCCATTTGTACACTAAACACCAAGCACAAGGAATTTCCTCTGGCCAGACAAGTGCAAGAGAAAACAAAGAGTTGGGACTTCATTACCCATGGAAAAAAATTCAACCTGTGGAACAGGACTTGCATGGTAGCCTAACCTTTACAATTAACCTCCATAAAAACCACAGCTCTGAACACAACACACCTCAGTCCAAACTCCTTTCCTGAATTTTTCTAAATGAATCATCTAGGAAGAGAAGGAAAAGCTGCCCTCTTCACAATGCAAGTCTCCTTGGTCCCATCCAAGCTACCTTGTTGCAATGAAACAACCCTAAAGCAACAAATGAAACCTCTTCAGCAGATACCTACGGTCAGCCACAGCTGCTCCATCCTAACATTCGCTTTTGCTTTGTGAACCCCAACAACACACCCCATTGCAGGGTTAGCTCCCAAATGCATCAGGGGGCACAAATCAATATCCAGTAAAGGATGGGACTGTGGCTAGTTGAGGAAACACAGCTCTGAAATGGGGTCTCAGCTCACCCTGCATGGTACTTCAGGCTGTCTGCACAAGGGTGTGATTTCCTCCACAGCCTCAGTCACACAATTAAACACCTCACTGCAGTTTGCTTTTGGGAAAAGGTGTACACGAAAGGAAAAGCATGAGCTTTTCTACATTGATTTGTACTTTAGAATAAAATGCATGTTCCAGACAAAGAGAAAAATCATGGTGAAATAATATCACAGAAGGGAGGAAAAGCTAATATTCTTCTCAGTGTAGCATGATTTTTGGAAACCCTAAGGAGAGGTGTGCAGTCAAATTCATTTTTTTAAAAAGTCTCCTTTGTGTGTAAAAGCCACAAAGCCACATCACAGATGGACCTGAAAGGACCTACTGAGACTCAAACACATGAAGCCACACATCACACTGGGAGCTAGAACCCCTGGGACTTCTTTCACATGAGAAGCACCAGGTCAGAGGTGATTCTTTGGCTTTGGTCTGTTCAAATCCAAGGCAGAGACAAGCCAGTGGCCAGGCCAATTGCCAAGTGAGCTCAATCTCTACAATAATTCATTGCTCATTCTGGGAAAGTAATTCTAGGTTAAAATTTAAAATACTTATTGTCATAATTTGTTTTCTCATTATACCATGTACATAAACCTGAGGAAATGCTATGAACACATTCAGCAAAAGGCAAGACTCAAGTTGCTAAAGAAAGGGCAAATGCCATTTTCAGGCACCTAATGCTCCACATTTGGAACAATTAATTCTTTATTTCTTTTCATTCCATGTTAGCATCTGCAACAAAAATTCACTAAAAACATCTGAAAAAAAGATAGAGCTTCTTACCTATTTTTTCTAGTTTGATCAACAGAATAGATCTGCTTTCTCAGCCAGCTTGAAGAAGAGGGAGAAAAAAAATAAATCTAAGAATTATAAAGAATATACAGCCAAATAAATTTCAAAATCCATAGACAAAACTCAACAGAAATACTTAAAAGTCTTAAGATTCATCTCTTTTAGCAAAGCAAAAAACCAGTGCAGCATTCAAGGATCCAGCCAGTTTTTTTAACCACATTTGTAAATATGTACTTTTCTTCTGCATTTTAAAGTCATATAAACAACACAGGAAGGGGAAGGGTGGGCAGAACAGAAAAGAATGAGTAACCAGAAGCTGTGAAAAAGTTAAAGAATAAAGTGAGCCAAAACTTCTGCTAATCTAAACTGAGTAACACCATAAAGTCCATGATTTCTGACAGATTTATCTTTGAGCTCCTGGCTCAAATATTTGCTAGATGCATAAAAATTAAAAACTGGAGAGAAGGGAAAGGGTTTAGAGAATGTTAAAGAAAATCCTCATTACACTGCATGTCAGTTTTAGATGCACAGTAAAATACTTCTAGTTGCACCAACAGTAAATAAATACATACACAATTTTGATCTAAAAAATGAATGCACCCCTAAGCTAATCTCCAGCCTCAACAGGAATTACTCTTTTTTGACAAGATGGTGTCAAAGCCACAATTTGGTCAGGGAGCAAGCGAGGGCAGAGCATATCCTCACTAACAACAGTGGCCACAAACAAAAATGCTAGCAAGTAATGAAAAGCAATGGGGTATGGAAACATTACTGAAACCTTGTCCACAGAACTGGCAATCTGAGCCTGAGCAGCTTCACACACAACATCCTCTGAAGGATAAAGGTGCAGTTTCAAAGGGCTGACTTTTGAATTTTCCAAGAAGCCAACACACAAACACCAGCTGTTCTTGTGATCTCATGAAGAGATTTTGTTTTGGGTGCACAGAACAAGGTGAATTGCAAGTTCACATTAATGTAAGAATCAGAGTGTGACTCCAGAGCACCTGGAGCACCTATGTAGCAAAATAGACATTGCAAACTTCCATATGAGGTTTCAGCGTCATGCACTAATTTGAAAGTGTTCTTAGTGTAATTGGCAAGCACCACTTGCTGCACCTTAAAAATTTCATTCAGATTTTCCTCTTTCAATTCCCAGTCTCACAAAGTGAAAATATGTCCACGTACCTCTCTGTGATAGCAGGTGTGGGAGCAGTCATGACCTCTTGATACAAGATATTCAAGCCACACAACCATTTATCAGTATCATCTTTAGAGTCAGCTGAAAAAAAAAATATGCTATGGTAAACATCAAAACAAAATCAACACATAACCAAGACATAACTTGTTTAAATAAACCTTAATATGCTGACTAACCTTTCTCTTTGATAAATCTCATTACATAGATTCACGTTGCTACTAATAAAACTAATAAACAGCATAAATTTGGGGGTAGGTAAGTTCTGACAGAAACTATCTGCTTTTAGAAGACTGTTTATTAGAGTAGAATAGTTTCAATATTCCAGCAAAAACACTATAAAACTACTGCTGAGCTCCTGTGGTAATACAATCTAAATTAATTTTCTTATCTTCTGTCTCCAAAGTGGCAAAAGCCCAGGACCTTCAAGAGCAACTTGAAGAGCACAGGCAGAAGAACTCAGTACTACTGTAGCATAAAGCTGGTTCATTATATTCCCAGCCTACAACAAAATTGCAATACACTGGCTTTTGACATAATCACCTTCTATTTATTTTAACCATGCCTCTCAACACACATTGTTCCAGACTAAATTTTAGCAAGACAAACAGAAAGTGAGCAATGTACAGAATTGGTGTAGTGTATATAAAACATCTTAATACAAGTCAAAAAAAGGTCTAAAATTCCTTATGTGTCCTAGCTAGAAGCCAGGTACATCTTCCTCCCAACCCTGCAAATTAGTATATCACTGCTTTGTTTTGTTTAAAATTGAGTTTGCCTTTCCATTTCCCAAACCTGAAGAGTCCTTCCCATCATTTATCATGATTGCATTTGGTAATTCTTCAACCCAGCAGAAGTAAGATGAGGAACTGTGCTGGGCACAGCTTTCCCTAGGAAACACCAGCTAAGCTGAAAGAACCTTGCATGAGATGCAATCTTTACAGCCCTCAGATGGGAAAAGTTCATTTGATTTAGCTGCCTCTCAAATTGCATGAAGGCATTCTTCAATTAAACCATCTCTGAAAAATTGTTTTCACACAGGAGCTGAAATCTTTTATCAGCCTTCAAAGCAAAACAGTTTCTCAAAAGGTGAAGATTACATTTTATTTAAACATACTTTCAAACAATGTTTTATCCCCCAAGGATGAAGCTGGAGCCCAGCCTCAGCTCCCCATGGGAACGTTTTTCAATTAGTTACAATTTTGGAAAGAACACCCACTACCACTGCCAAACCAATTCTTCTCCCAAGACAATTCTGCCCTTTATGATAGCTACCATTCCCTTCAAGGAACAATTCTTTTATATTGTTATAAGAAACCACGACAAAGCCCTTCAACAAGGAAAAGGATTTCCCCCTTAACTGAGAGTTATATCATGTTGTTCTGCATTACAGCAACAGCTCATGGTACCAAGTGTTTTCAAAGTATTGGCAGAGTCCTGTTTTGAGAACTGCCATGGGGGAAGGACTGTCAGAGGAAATCAAGCTGAAGTCCCTGGCACAGCTGCACGTAAGCACGGCCACTTACTCAAAATTTTCACAGATTTCAGTCAACAATGGTAAAACTTATTTAAAGTTATTAATGGTAATGGGTAAAGTTGTTTAAAGTTAAAAACCTCTAAGAATGGATCACAAGCAGTCTTTCATTTTAAAAGCATCTGACTGTAAAAAATTTGTCTTCTAATACTGCAATCTATAAGAAATTAATCCCATAACTAATAATAAAATAAAAGCTGTCAGTATTTAAACACTTACAAAGCACTCCCCTTTTCTCACATTAAGATTTTCCAATTAAGTTAAATTTTAATGGGTAAAGCACATTCCTGCTCAGGACAGAGAGAACTGTGACTCCAAATGAATTGTCTGTATGGTTCTAAACCAATGACCCATTATAAACCTTTTAGAAATCTCTTTGTAAATTCCACTAGTTAGAAATTTTATTCAGCCTGTACTGTAAAAATTTATACCTCTTTTCATTTCCAAATCTTTGGGTTTGTGACCCTGGATAATCTTGCCTGTAATAAAATGTGCTCCAACTCTTTCTATAGATATAGGGTACAAATTCCCTTTGTATCACACAAATCTCTTCATTTTAAATTTGTCACTTATTTAGAAGGGGTTTAGTATTACCAGGTGACATGCACACAAATAATGAAACTAAAAAAATAAGAAAATAACAAATAACAAAACATAACCCAAACTAAAACTTATTTTTTCCAAATTAATCTGCAATTGCTCACAGACAATAGGAAAATTTCTGTGATACAGCTGCAGTGTAACTTTTTATGGCTATTATATCCAAGATCATTTTGGCCAAACTGAAAATATTAGGACAATATTCTGGCCATGCTGAAAAGCTGTCTTTAAAGAGGGCAATGTTACCTCTGCTCTTCAGTGCTGAAAACCTTACTGGAGTTATTTAACCAGCAAAAAATTTTTTTGCTAGAAAAAAGCAGAAATGACACTCACACAACACACCACTTGAAAGTGAAACATTCCAAATGCAGCAGGTCACAGAAAAGAAGGGCTGAGTAAAAGGTCTGGCTCCAGATTTTAAGCATCTGGTGCACTCCTGAACTGCAGAAGTTAAAACCACAGTATTCTGTGCATTCCTGTTCCATCAATGTCTTTGACTTGTTCAATCAGTAGCTTTAAAGAAGAAAGAAAGAAGATAAAAGTACCTGCTAAACTTAAGGTGTTGAGGACAAACTGGGTACCATAAAAAACAGTAAAGCAGTGTTCTTCTCTGTGCCTTGCTTTGCAACGTTCAAAGTCCTTTGAATTCTTTCCTGGGCGAATTTCTTTTATTTCCATCAGATCCACTGAAAGGAAACAACATTCAATCAGTACAACTGCAGAGCTTGAAATGGTAGGATGGATAACTCAAAGTATGTACACACATATAAAATAAAAGTCATATATATAAAAATGCAGATATGTATTGGAGAAGAAATGCAAATTCTGCCAGTTTGCAAACTATAAATCCACAAATAAATAGTAACAGATGATAGTAGAACAGGACCAGAAAAAGGAAAAAAACCTGTCTTATTTTTATTATTTCACTATCACTGATTTTCCATGGACAAGATGCAGACACATGGCCCTTTGGGTCATAGAAAATGTGATTTCACAAATGGCATTAACTCTAAGCAAGTAAATTTCCAATTGCCATGACAACTTTAAACAGAAACTAAAAAGAAAATATACAATTCTACCTTACCCACCTAAACCACCCACATATACCTTAGATAGCCCAGCTAACCTTGCCAGCTAGTACAGTAACTGCTACTTTCAAGAAAAATATCTGAAGTAGGAATATAAAGAGAAAATCAAGCTTAATACTTAAAATGTTTGTGAGTTTCCTCATGTCCAGCTCCAGAGAGATCTGTGTTATTTAACATAACCTGTTGTATCACTTTCACCTTGCAGCTCTCCAGAGAAGCACTGGAGCATGGCAGAATGGGAACCCTGCACAAGCACACACTTTCCTAAGCCAGCTCCCTTTTTTCAAACCCTTGATAAAGGGCCTGCAGAACAGGAGTGAGACAGCACTGAAATAGAAATATGTGTGCTCTCAAGATAAGATACTTATTAGAAAACTGAGGAAGTGGTTTTGCTCTGCCTGTGGACCAGAGAAATAAACAGCTCTTTCCACTTCTGGACAGTCTTGACTTATGAGCTACAGGACAAAGAGTGAAGAAAAACATTTCATGGCTGCTCTTGAAATGTGTTTGTCAGACTTAGCAAGATCCAAGGAAAACAGCTGCGGGTTTTTTGTCCATGCATTTAAGAATACCACAATATAAACCTCCTATTTTAAATGAGCACCTCACTCATCAGTAACAGAAGACCATTAACAACATAATGAAACAGCAGCTCTACTGCCAGACAAGGGTGAGCTGAACAATGGTAAAGCTTCCACCTGTGTAATGCTGCATTTCTATGATGCCAATATGGACAGACAAATAAAGAATTTAATCAAAAAAATCCTGAGAATGAAACATTAATTCATCTTGGAACTTCTTATTTTCTGCAAAGTACCCCAGGCCAAACTTCTACCAGACACTCCTCACAGTCATTAAACAACTTACATTGTGAAAATGAGACCTCAAAGTTAACCTGAACTAATCATAGGATATAAGAATCTTTCTTAAATGAATTTTTCCAAGCATCATTATTCTCAAGGTAGAGGTTTTAATGCCTCAGCCTCCCTCTCAAACCACAAAAACATCTCCTAAGATCTGCATATCTGATTGGCCAAGACCCCTAAATTTAGATGCAAACTTCTAAAATAAATTCACATTATGCCTATAAGTGAATGACCAGGAACAAAAAGCTCCTAATGACTCTGATCCCCTTATCATTCAGAGTCTCACTCAGATCCCTTAAGATGCATCCAAATTACCATCCTAAATGTCACCATCTAAAAAAGTTGATTTTAAGCCACAAATTTACATTAATAACAACAGAGAGGAATCAGAACACAGACATAGAAAGTACCCAAATGCAGAGGGGAGGAGGTAACATGGCTGCAGTAAATGGCATGGGACTGCACACCAGGCTGGCTTATTCTAACCATTGCAACCCCAGTCACCTCTTCTGCTTTCCCTTCACCCAACAAATCCCTGCTGAAAAACACAGTTTTAACTTCAAAGTGAATCACACCTTTCCTTTCAGACTCCTTTAAATCCACACACATGAACAACACAACAAAAGGCCCTCTCAAAGTACAAATTAGAAGCAGTGATAAAAGATATTTCACAACCTGCATTGCTGTTGTCATTTCCAGGGGCTCTTACCTCACACTAACCTCTGAAATAAGCACACAAATTTACTCAATGTCTCCCCTCAGTTACACACACTCACTACAGTCCTTCTCCTTGCATTACAGCCTTTCAACACCACCATCCCCTTCTCCTGCACCAACCTATGTCTATATACATAGTGGCACAACAATTTTTGTATGCACAGACATGTTATTGCTTCTCCAACTGGTTAAAATTTAACATCCCTATTATTTTCAGGCAACATATTCCATACATCCTACAAAATCTGGGCAATATATCATTACGTTTCCTTAGAAAATAAATGAAACAGGTACAAAACACAAGTTTATTAAACATTCTTTAGCTTTTTACAGAAATAAAGACATAATACACATTATAGTGTCAGAAAATGAATATAAACTACCTGTATGTATTTTAATTACATTTCATAGTGTTGGTTAGGATGTATTACTCTACATTATTGAAAGAAAAGCCAGTGTAGAGAATCTAAGGGAGAAAAGAGAAATATGAACACCAAGCATTAATTCTGGTCTTGCACTAAGCTCTGCCTTCTCCACAGGTGGTCTGGAGTCACCTCCACAAGAAGCCCAGTAACTCCAGAATGGCTGTTACCATTCA